CCAGTGGAGGATTACCAGTGGTGGGTTTCTGCTTCCATCTACCAGTAGGTAAATGGTATACCTCCATTAATGATGACAGTGCTTTCTTCTTATCATTATTGTGTACTTTAGGGAGACCAAACTGGTATCCACCCCACATATATAAGTAATCTCCTACTCTTACTGTAGAATGGTAATTCCTCTCCACTGGTTTATAGTCTATAGATAACAAGAGGTAACAGTAACTGAGTCAATCAATCACAAACAACTCCTCACCTTTTGCTGCCATTGTAATGGGATACACCCACCTATGACGTCATCAAACAACTATGAACATTAATTATTGTAGCAATACTAATAATCATGTATAAAAAACCACAACAAACAAGGTAACACTAATCCTTCAGTGTCATTATCAGTACTAATTAATCATTTCTTCAACTGGTTCATTCCTAATGAAAGGTATTCCCAGTGCATCACCATGTGAATTCCATATACGGTAACCTGAGGACACCAACTCTCTTCCTGTGTAGAATAATAATAATAATAATAATAATAATAATAATAATAATAATAATAATAATAATAATAATAATAATAATAATAATAATTGTTAAATAATTGAATTTATTATTAATATCTAACCTAATGTTAGTTTGTATTTGATTGATGGGAACAAAGTGATTGAGCGAGGATCAATTTGACAGCCACTGAGAGTGAAATCAGAAATCTTGAAATTCAACTATTGTAAAGAGTAGAATAATAATCAATTGAAGATCAAATTTTAATATTAAAAGTTATCACTTATTACTACAATCAAGACTACATAATACCTACATGCATGCATTTTTTGAAACAGTACAAAATAAATTTTAATGCTACAACATAAGAACATAACATACACATGTAGTCATGTACACGTATGTATATCAGATAAATTATAAAAACAGACAATTCTTCCCTCGCCAATTTAGATGAAATATACTACAATCCATAGTATTTGGCCAAATTTTGGAGCAACTTTAATTTTTTAGAAATCCAAACTTAATGGGAATCCCCTCAAGAATATTCCACATAATGCAGTCAATCTATTTACATATTCCTACTAATCCATAACTAATTCACAATACTAATATACTAAATACTGATTCTACATGTACCTCACAATGGCTGTTCTGCTCAACACAAAACTTTGCATCAACAGTTTTGTCTCTCTCCTCCTCCTCTTCACTAGGAAACTCAGTGAATGTCACAGTAACATTGAGGGACACTTCCAGGGACTTTACTGGGAACTTCTGTCCAATATTCCACACTAGACTCTTATTATCAGGACCAATGCACAGACTAACTGATGTTGGTGATGTTATCAATCTTCTTAATAGTTCCCCTACAGACTAAATTTTAATAGTACAGTTACATATTTATTGGTTTACCTGTTAAAAAAAGGAATCACTACTTCACAGCACTCAAAGTTGTTCCTAATTGTTTCGTGTAGCTTCAATTGAATCATTATTTATTATTATTATTTTTATTATTGGTATAATGTTATTATCATTATTTATTATCATTATTGTTTTTATTATTTAGGATTGTGAGACATTGCGTCAGATTGGTAGGCGAGAGCTTCAAAGTGAGCTCCAAGAGACAAAGAAAGCTGTAGCTAGGAGAACAGCACCTGAGATCATCA